GTTAAAATGTGGTTTAAAATAAACTGGTGGTCAAACCCACCACCGTTGTGAGCCAAAACTACCACGTTTTTGAATTTCTTCCTTATTTCTAAGATATGTCTCATTAGTACATTTATTACATTATCGGTTATTATTTTTTGCCGAAAACCACACTTTTGACAAAAGTAAAGTTTTTCTTCATCTATACATTTATCACAACACTGCACAAACACGCAAAGGTTAGGTTGATGTAAAAGGGACCCGTCTTCTAACAACTGCTCCTGCATTGTTTCCAAATCGTAAAATATAAAAAGCGTATCCTGTGTTTTCGGAGAACCTTTATCTACCTGAATGTAGCACAGATGATCTCTATTTACATGGCTGTTGCACGTTTTACAGAACACCTCTTCGCAAACATGGTTTCTGTTACAACGATATATTGTAAAACATTTTTCACACCGCCTGATTTGAGTGCAAATATTAAATGTTTTGTGATTGTCAAAACATTTTTGCCCTCGAAAGTCTCTTCCGCATTCTCCGCACTTTATTTTTATAACGTCCTCTTTAGAACATACAGGGGTTTGAAAGCAAAAGGCACACGTTCCGCCGCAACGATGTCTGTTCTTATTATTAAAGGGGACGTGACAATCTTCACAATAATAAGTACATGTGAAGGCTGCAGTTAAAGATGTAACTACGTTGTAGTGTCCATCGTGATAAATTAGATTTAGACGTTTACCCGTACCGTCACCTTCAAACATGACGTCACGCCCTTTTGAACCATAAAGGTATACAGTTAATTTATAGGGTTGTAGATATTCTTGAAATTGTTGTAGTTCGGATACACCCGCACCAGATTTTGGTATTATGATGTTGCTATCTCGTAATAACTTTATTGCTTTTTGTTCTTGTTTTTTTCCGATATTACGTCTAATCTGCCTGTATTCATTATCATGATTAACATACGCAATAGCAACAACGATTGCACGAGGAAGACATAGACCGTCATTATTATTAATTACCACAACACCTCTCCGTGCCGTACAGTCCTCTTGAAAATTTATGTATTTCCGTTCTCTTCCTAACCCAGATGGTAACCTGACAGATGTTACACGAAGACAAAAGGTTTCGGTGTTTAAACCGCATGCGTTGGACTGATAGATGGACGAGATGGTGTCCCAAACATCGTCAACAGTAACATCACTAGCCACCTTGAACCGCATCCACCCCTCACCTTTGTTAAAATCTTTGGAGCAGAATGAAAAACCCACCATATCTTGTGGAGACAATCCTTCTACACCTTTATGAACAATTTGTGTGATTGCTTCTTTTGTCCAGTGTATGGGGTTGGCATCTTTAGGTATGGGTTTTAACTTAAATTCCAAAGTACGGCCGCTTAAATTGAAACGGCGTACCTTTCGGGTATTGTCTTTCAAAATACGAAATTTTTCCATTTTAAGCGTTTGATGATATTAACCAACAACTCGTTACACAGTCTATTGATCAAAGCACCTTTATGTACTGAAGTTGGACCACCAAATTTCAGTCGGTATGTCAAGGCTACACGGACCGCCAATTGAATGATAGCAGCGTAGAGATATTTGTGTTAATGTTCTGCAATAAATTACTAAATTACTTATTATTGTATTCGCAGCTATGACGATTTAATTGACAAAAGTAGCATAGAAGTATTTGTTTTAGAAAAATTTCGAAAACTAAAGTACTTTTTCATAGCAGACTACAATTATACTCCATGACACGTCTTGGTTTACATCACGGTATACGAATGCAAAGGACATCTTACCCTATGGATTATATGGCATATGAAGAGACATTCTTTTAAGAATAACATGAGATTTGACGACAATTATGTCCGAACTCCTGCTGCTTCTCTGCTCTCCAATACTCAGTATGACGATCAAAACACGACTAGCGATGTTAATAGCATCACTAACAGTTTTATTTGCAATCGGTAGCAATATCAAAAACAGAGAACGTATTACGCGGATGAAGAAGAAAGAAAACAATATTGCTTCAGGTGTGAGAGGGAGTAAGATAAGATAGCACAGGCAACGAGACTACGACAGCTCAAGCTTTAAGTGACTGGTTAGTGAAACTTTTATATATATATAGACTGGAAAACCACACAGGATTAATACGTGCATGCGAGGTACCATTTCTGTTGTTATTAAATGTATAGTATTGTGATCGATTGACACCTACGCGCATGCATCGGGGAACTTTCTATCATCACTGAAAATTACACTCCCACGTGTTAGGGGGTCTAAGCGAAACGTCAGAGAGATATATTTCTCCGGGACGCATGCGTAATTGCATCCATCGTGATGTTGTGCTTAAGAGCGGTCTGTATGAAAGACAGTACGGTTTAACTATGCAGTGTTCTGATCGAATGATATTTGCGATGAGCCAGCAATTAGCGGACTTCTGTCATCTTCAAAAATCACAACCAACGTTTCAGGCTGGAAACTTTTACCATGACCCTCTCCGGCATACAATTCTCCTCCACGTATGAAGGGATGCCGGGCGTACAGTATATCATTCGTAATGTTACGTGTGAGGGTGTGTGTGTGCGTGTCAGATACATACTATAATAGGAAGTGAGGTCATGAGGTGTCAGGACACATGCTTACACTTACCAAGATACTTACCTCTCTGTTTGTGATGGACTCTATTAAGCAGTGAGAGGTACCTGCAATTTAAGATTTTTGGTTAAATGAGGTTGACGTGAATATTTTTTTTTTGTTCCTATTTTATTGCATGAATGAAAAATGCAGCTTTTTTATTAGAAATAATTTAAGATACAATTCGAGAACTATCAGGATTAAAATATTAGATATTAGAATATTTAAAAAACACTTTTACTATTACCAAAGGAAAGAACCTACGTACACAAAGTCCAACAGCTAATTTAATATGATGATGATTGGATAGGTGAGTAATGACAATAACGTGCGATCAGAAATGAGGGACTGTCCAGTAACCTTTTGGAAGTTCAAGTATTGATTTTGAGTACAAGTGAGTAAAGCCACTATTTATCCTCGAGCTCTAGATTGGAACACACGAACGTATTTTATGATATAGTAAACGTGTAAACAAATATAGCAAACGAGCTCTTGGGTATGGTTATAGCATGCGAAAAAACAAATTTGAACCCGATGTTAGATTGCTTTTATTCCGAGTGCATATGTCTCGAATTTCATTTAAATGCTTTCGTAAATAAGAAAGTTGGCACCACGCATGCGCAAAACCAAATTTGAAACAGGCGTTACATTTGCTTTTTATTCCAAGTGTCTATGTATCAAATTTGATTTAATAGCTCCCATAAATAAGAAAAGTTAGTACTGCGCATACGCAAAACCTAATTTTGAAACTGACGTTAGATTTACTTTTATTCCAAGTCTCAATGATCAAACTTCATTTAAAGCTCTTCATAAATAAAAAAGTTTGCAATTCGGTTCATAAATAGTCGAAATGCGAAAAGGGCACTATGTATGTTCAATCCATTGGACTCAACTTCTGGCATTGCGTATTATACCCCTAAAGCTATGCTCATATTAAATTTCATGGAATTCGGTTCATATCTAACGGAGATGTCAAAAGGGCCTTCCTTATTTTTTTGCCTACATGGCCAATTCACGAACTCCGATCTACAAATTTGATAAGGAATCCACATGAAAATTTCATCGTAATCGGACCACCCGCTTTCGGGATATCGTGCTAACGGAAAGATGCCGCAAAATTATAAACTCGCTAGGAGCTCGCCAATAATTTGGTAGCCAAAATATGTTTATAAATCGTTTTCACGAAACCTGAAATACGACAGACAAATTATTTCAGGAGATTTTATTACGCGCGAGGGAGTGTTTCATCTAGAGAGAGAGAGAGAGAGTGCAAGAGCCCTTACTCAAAAAGACGGCTAACATAATTCAGTAACTGACGTTAACCGATTAACAAATTTGCTCACTAGAGATCAAACCACCCGTTTTTCTAACGAAAAATAGAGAGCAAACCATACTATCAATTACTAATCGTGGAAATAATATTCACTGAAACTGACCTTGTGAGTTCTAAAATGCTATTTTTAAATCAATAATTGGAACATTATTCTTTTACGTAGGTACATTTATTACACCTATTTAAAAAAAAATCCTCCAAGGCGAAATAAGAATTTCACATCATTGCTTTGCGGTGTGTTTAAAAAATCGTCTAAACATTTAAAAATTGATATAATCCAATCTAAATTAATAAAGCATATAGTGTAATGTAAAAAAAATGAACGATTTAATACCAAGAACTCGTTTTACAAGAAACATTTGGTGGTAAAAAAAGTTCATTAAGTTCCACCCTTACCACCAACGATATGAGGGTTGCGTGCCGCTGCAGTTTTGTTGAAGATCTCGAGCTCTTACGCACTCAACAGAAACGGATTAACTGGCGATTTCTAAACAATAAATAAATAAAGCGAAAATGTGTGGAATTTGCGCAAGTCTATTCATTAGCATTGAGCAGGTCGTGCGCTTTCCGCAAGGAGTCAGTGAGAGACAGAGAAAGCATTCGGAAGGAAAGAGATGGCTTCCCCGCTCTCGAATTAGAAAAAAACACATTTTATATCAGTGCCCGTTTATCTGAAACAGCCTGTTCATGTGTGTGTTGTTTAGTGAGGTCAATACAAATTTACAAAAGGCCCGTTATAGGTTAGGTTGGAATGGGCGCGCCCATTCCAACCTAACCTATAACGGGCCTTTTGTAAATTTGTATTGACCTCACTAAACAACACACACATGAACAGGCTGTTTCAGATAAACGGGCACTGATATAAAATGTGTTTTTTTCTAATTCGAGAGCGGGGAAGCCATCTCTTTCCTTCCGAATGCTTTCTCTGTCTCTCACTGACTCCTTGCGGAAAGCGCACGACCTGCTCAATGCTAATGAATAGACTTGCGCAAATTCCACACATTTTCGCTTTATTTATTTATTGTTTAGAAATCGCCAGTTAATCCGTTTCTGTTGAGTGCGTAAGAGCTCGAGATCTTCAACAAAACTGCAGCGGCACGCAACCCTCATATCGTTGGTGGTAAGGGTGGAACTTAATGAACTTTTTTTACCACCAAATGTTTCTTGTAAAACGAGTTCTTGGTATTAAATCGTTCATTTTTTTTACATTACACTATATGCTTTATTAATTTAGATTGGATTATATCAATTTTTAAATGTTTAGACGATTTTTTAAACACACCGCAAAGCAATGATGTGAAATTCTTATTTCGCCTTGGAGGATTTTTTTTTAAATAGGTGTAATAAATGTACCTACGTAAAAGAATAATGTTCCAATTATTGATTTAAAAATAGCATTTTAGAACTCACAAGGTCAGTTTCAGTGAATATTATTTCCACGATTAGTAATTGATAGTATGGTTTGCTCTCTATTTTTCGTTAGAAAAACGGGTGGTTTGATCTCTAGTGAGCAAATTTGTTAATCGGTTAACGTCAGTTACTGAATTATGTTAGCCGTCTTTTTGAGTAAGGGCTCTTGCACTCTCTCTCTCTCTCTCTAGATGAAACACTCCCTCGCGCGTAATAAAATCTCCTGAAATAATTTGTCTGTCGTATTTCAGGTTTCGTGAAAACGATTTATAAACATATTTTGGCTACCAAATTATTGGCGAGCTCCTAGCGAGTTTATAATTTTGCGGCATCTTTCCGTTAGCACGATATCCCGAAAGCGGGTGGTCCGATTACGATGAAATTTTCATGTGGATTCCTTATCAAATTTGTAGATCGGAGTTCGTGAATTGGCCATGTAGGCAAAAAAATAAGGAAGGCCCTTTTGACATCTCCGTTAGATATGAACCGAATTCCATGAAATTTAATATGAGCATAGCTTTAGGGGTATAATACGCAATGCCAGAAGTTGAGTCCAATGGATTGAACATACATAGTGCCCTTTTCGCATTTCGACTATTTATGAACCGAATTGCAAACTTTTTTATTTATGAAGAGCTTTAAATGAAGTTTGATCATTGAGACTTGGAATAAAAGTAAATCTAACGTCAGTTTCAAAATTAGGTTTTGCGTATGCGCAGTACTAACTTTTCTTATTTATGGGAGCTATTAAATCAAATTTGATACATAGACACTTGGAATAAAAAGCAAATGTAACGCCTGTTTCAAATTTGGTTTTGCGCATGCGTGGTGCCAACTTTCTTATTTACGAAAGCATTTAAATGAAATTCGAGACATATGCACTCGGAATAAAAGCAATCTAACATCGGGTTCAAATTTGTTTTTTCGCATGCTATAACCATACCCAAGAGCTCGTTTGCTATATTTGTTTACACGTTTACTATATCATAAAATACGTTCGTGTGTTCCAATCTAGAGCTCGAGGATAAATAGTGGCTTTACTCACTTGTACTCAAAATCAATACTTGAACTTCCAAAAGGTTACTGGACAGTCCCTCATTTCTGATCGCACGTTATTGTCATTACTCACCTATCCAATCATCATCATATTAAATTAGCTGTTGGACTTTGTGTACGTAGGTTCTTTCCTTTGGTAATAGTAAAAGTGTTTTTTAAATATTCTAATATCTAATATTTTAATCCTGATAGTTCTCGAATTGTATCTTAAATTATTTCTAATAAAAAAGCTGCATTTTTCATTCATGCAATAAAATAGGAACAAAAAAAAAATATTCACGTCAACCTCATTTAACCAAAAATCTTAAATTGCAGGTACCTCTCACTGCTTAATAGAGTCCATCACAAACAGAGAGGTAAGTATCTTGGTAAGTGTAAGCATGTGTCCTGACACCTCATGACCTCACTTCCTATTATAGTATGTATCTGACACGCACACACACACCCTCACACGTAACATTACGAATGATATACTGTACGCCCGGCATCCCTTCATACGTGGAGGAGAATTGTATGCCGGAGAGGGTCATGGTAAAAGTTTCCAGCCTGAAACGTTGGTTGTGATTTTTGAAGATGACAGAAGTCCGCTAATTGCTGGCTCATCGCAAATATCATTCGATCAGAACACTGCATAGTTAAACCGTACTGTCTTTCATACAGACCGCTCTTAAGCACAACATCACGATGGATGCAATTACGCATGCGTCCCGGAGAAATATATCTCTCTGACGTTTCGCTTAGACCCCCTAACACGTGGGAGTGTAATTTTCAGTGATGATAGAAAGTTCCCCGATGCATGCGCGTAGGTGTCAATCGATCACAATACTATACATTTAATAACAACAGAAATGGTACCTCGCATGCACGTATTAATCCTGTGTGGTTTTCCAGTCTATATATATATAAAAGTTTCACTAACCAGTCACTTAAAGCTTGAGCTGTCGTAGTCTCGTTGCCTGTGCTATCTTATCTTACTCCCTCTCACACCTGAAGCAATATTGTTTTCTTTCTTCTTCATCCGCGTAATACGTTCTCTGTTTTTGATATTGCTACCGATTGCAAATAAAACTGTTAGTGATGCTATTAACATCGCTAGTCGTGTTTTGATCGTCATACTGAGTATTGGAGAGCAGAGAAGCAGCAGGAGTTCGGACATAATTGTCGTCAAATCTCATGTTATTCTTAAAAGAATGTCTCTTCATATGCCATATAATCCATAGGGTAAGATGTCCTTTGCATTCGTATACCGTGATGTAAACCAAGACGTGTCATGGAGTATAATTGTAGTCTGCTATGAAAAAGTACTTTAGTTTTCGAAATTTTTCTAAAACAAATACTTCTATGCTACTTTTGTCAATTAAATCGTCATAGCTGCGAATACAATAATAAGTAATTTAGTAATTTATTGCAGAACATTAACACAAATATCTCTACGCTGCTATCATTCAATTGGCGGTCCGTGTAGCCTTGACATACCGACTGAAATTTGGTGGTCCAACTTCAGTACATAAAGGTGCTTTGATCAATAGACTGTGTAACGAGTTGTTGGTTAATATCATCAAACGCTTAAAATGGAAAAATTTCGTATTTTGAAAGACAATACCCGAAAGGTACGCCGTTTCAATTTAAGCGGCCGTACTTTGGAATTTAAGTTAAAACCCATACCTAAAGATGCCAACCCCATACACTGGACAAAAGAAGCAATCACACAAATTGTTCATAAAGGTGTAGAAGGATTGTCTCCACAAGATATGGTGGGTTTTTCATTCTGCTCCAAAGATTTTAACAAAGGTGAGGGGTGGATGCGGTTCAAGGTGGCTAGTGATGTTACTGTTGACGATGTTTGGGACACCATCTCGTCCATCTATCAGTCCAACGCATGCGGTTTAAACACCGAAACCTTTTGTCTTCGTGTAACATCTGTCAGGTTACCATCTGGGTTAGGAAGAGAACGGAAATACATAAATTTTCAAGAGGACTGTACGGCACGGAGAGGTGTTGTGGTAATTAATAATAATGACGGTCTATGTCTTCCTCGTGCAATCGTTGTTGCTATTGCGTATGTTAATCATGATAATGAATACAGGCAGATTAGACGTAATATCGGAAAAAAACAAGAACAAAAAGCAATAAAGTTATTACGAGATAGCAACATCATAATACCAAAATCTGGTGCGGGTGTATCCGAACTACAACAATTTCAAGAATATCTACAACCCTATAAATTAACTGTATACCTTTATGGTTCAAAAGGGCGTGACGTCATGTTTGAAGGTGACGGTACGGGTAAACGTCTAAATCTAATTTATCACGATGGACACTACAACGTAGTTACATCTTTAACTGCAGCCTTCACATGTACTTATTATTGTGAAGATTGTCACGTCCCCTTTAATAATAAGAACAGACATCGTTGCGGCGGAACGTGTGCCTTTTGCTTTCAAACCCCTGTATGTTCTAAAGAGGACGTTATAAAAATAAAGTGCGGAGAATGCGGAAGAGACTTTCGAGGGCAAAAATGTTTTGACAATCACAAAACATTTAATATTTGCACTCAAATCAGGCGGTGTGAAAAATGTTTTACAATATATCGTTGTAACAGAAACCATGTTTGCGAAGAGGTGTTCTGTAAAACGTGCAACAGCCATGTAAATAGAGATCATCTGTGCTACATTCAGGTAGATAAAGGTTCTCCGAAAACACAGGATACGCTTTTTATATTTTACGATTTGGAAACAATGCAGGAGCAGTTGTTAGAAGACGGGTCCCTTTTACATCAACCTAACCTTTGCGTGTTTGTGCAGTGTTGTGATAAATGTATAGATGAAGAAAAACTTTACTTTTGTCAAAAGTGTGGTTTTCGGCAAAAAATAATAACCGATAATGTAATAAATGTACTAATGAGACATATCTTAGAAATAAGGAAGAAATTCAAAAACGTGGTAGTTTTGGCTCACAACGGTGGTGGGTTTGACCACCAGTTTATTTTAAACCACATTTTAACACAAACAGATCTCACACCTGAACTAATAATGCGTGGAACAAAATTAGTTTGTATGTTTTTAGATAACGTTAGATTTCTAGATTCATTAAATTACTTTCAAATGTCGCTTAATAAGTTACCTAAAGTATTCGGGCTAACAGCGTTAAAGAAAGGATACTTTCCGCATTTATTTAACACCACAGAACATCAAAACTACATAGGTCCAATTCCACCCATAGAAACCTTTGATCCGGATAACCTCAAGTGCAACGAGAGAGAAATATTGTTAGCGTGGCATGCAAGCAAGGTGGCCGGTAACTATACATTTGACTTTCAAAAAGAGTTCATAGATTACTGTGTAGCAGATGTGGACATATTAGCGCGTTCCTGTCTTAAGTTTAGAGAGTTGATGATCAAGGAGGGCAATGTGTGTCCATTTACTGAAAGTGTCACGTTGCCGGGTGCGTGTAATAAGATTTTTCGACGATCATTCTTAAAACCAAACACTATCGGTCTAATACCAAGAGGCGGTTACAGAAATTGTGATAATCAATCAAAGCTAGCAATACGTTGGTTATTATTAGAAGAACGCTCCCGTCAAATTGATATTATACATTCGGGCAAACAGAAAGAGGCTAGGGTTGGAGGTGTAAAGGTCGACGGATATTGTCCCAAAACCAATGAGGTGTTTGAGTTCCACGGTTGTTATTACCACGGTTGTCCGAAATGCTTCAAATATACTAGAAACGCATCCTTACCAGACAGTCCATCAGAGACTTTGGAGTACCGATATGAAGCTACCGTAGCGAAATCTTGTAGATTAATAGAACTAGGATATGCCGTTATCGAGATGTGGGAATGCGATTTTAAGAGGCTTATGACCGAAGAAATGTTTAATTACACTGAAACACACCATATAATTGCAAGTTCACCGCTAAACCCCAGAGACGCATTTTATGGGGGTCGAACAGGAAACGCAAAATCCTTTTATATAACAAAGGGAGATGAACAAATAAAATATGTAGATTTTACTTCGCTTTATCCCTATGTTAACAAGTACGGTTTATACCCTATAAGGCACCCCACCGTCCACATTGGGGAGTCGTGCAGTAAATTAAACTTAGATGAGGTAGACGGAATCATCAAGTGTAAGATCCTACCACCACAGACATTATTCCCCCCAGTACTGCCTGTAAAAATGAATAAAAAATTAATGTTTGTGCTTTGCCGTTCATGCGGTGAAGGTTTCGACCAAGGACCTTGTAAACATAACGACGATGAGCGTGCGGTAACAGGAACTTGGGTGCTTGCCGAGGTTAAGAAAGCTATCCAAAAAGGATACAAACTCTTAGTAACTTATGAGATATGGAAATACGACACAGAGCAATATAATAAAAGCACTAAAACTGGTGGCCTGTTTAATGAATACATAAACAAATTTTTGGGCATTAAACAGCAAAGTTCTGGATGGCCTACTTCTTGTGATACCTCAGAAAAGAGAGCTGAATATGTTAAAGACTACTTTGAAACTGAGGGTGTTCGCCTTGACCCAGCAAAGATTGATAAAAATCCAGGTTTACGACAATTGGGGAAATCCGTTATTACTTCGTTTTGGGGAAAGTTAGGACAGCGCGAGAATCAAAGCAAGACTACAATTGTAAGACAACCAGGAGAATTTTATAACATCATGACTAATCCTTCAATCGACATTAATTCCGTTCTGACCATAAATGAGGATACGCTACTTGTGAACTGGGGATTTAAAGAAGAAAGTTACAACCCTTTATCGACAGTGAACGTGGTACTGGCCGCCTACACCACTGCGCAGGCACGATTAAAGTTATATGAATATTTGGAAAAGTTAGAGGATAGGGTTCTATATTACGATACGGACTCGATAATCTACGTTTCGGTTCCGGGAATGTACGATCCACCATTAGGTCGCTTTTTGGGCGAGTTGACAGATGAACTAGAAGAGGAAGGCGTTGGAAGCTACATCAAAGAATTTGTGTCAGGCGGTCCAAAGAATTACGCTTACAAAATGTGGTCCAGTTCTAAAGGTTGCGATGTAACTGTTTGTAAGGTTAAAGGGATATCTTTATCTTACACGGCTTCGCAAGTAATTAACTTTGATCAGATAAAAAAGATGGTGTTAGAAGAAGAATCAGAACCAATTATGTTAACTTCAAAACTCATAAAAAGAACAGCTGAACACGATGTAATAACTACCAGTGCTGCTAAAACTTATCGTACAAATTCCACAAAAAGGTGTTTTGCTCCAGACGGTTCGTCAACACCTTATGGATATAAGAAAGCGCGTTTAACTAATGTCATTATTGAAAATTTGTAATATATATTATACTTAAGATAATTCTAGCACCATGTATCAACAATGTAATTTTCTCGTTGAGCACATTGCCCATAATGTCATTGGTTGTGTAGAGGTAGAAAATTGCAATAGAAAACGCATGCAATCTGTAGGGGCAAGATCCATTTCGACGACTTCCCGGATATCAACTAATTCGATTTTAGTTTTAATAAAAACCATCTATTTTCTTAAATTACGCTACTATATGTAGTAAATATGAATCACAGTTTCCCCACATTCCTTACTCGGGGTGTCTATTTATAGCGCATATAAATTCTAGAAACGTGATCTTGCATACATAAGTGTAAAGGTTACCGAGTAGTACCTAATTTTTGTATACATGTATTCGCTTTTTTTTTTAAATAATTACATCAAATTATTACTTACAGCCAAATTTAACTTTTCTTAACGCATGCTTTTTTCTACAATGAAGTAACTGAGAAAGTGAGAACAGATAACTTTTGCTTTATTATGTTCTATTAATAACACAGGTAATTTATCCCTGCCGGTTCTTATTCTTCACACCCGTATGGGTTTAAAAAACTTAGGGTACATAATGTCACAATAAGTAACGACTTGTGATCCCTTTTACGCTGCTCATATTTTGTAAAATACCTATGTAATGTATAATCAACCTATGTAACAAATTTTGTAACAAAAGTATAATAATAAATCTCCAAAGCTTTCATCTTATTGAGGGTTTCGTAAATGATCGTGTACACGAGATTTGTACATATAAATCAAAATAGTTATGTACCAAAGAATTGTTCTTGTCTTAAATATAGTTAACACACGTATATAAAACGGTTTGTTGGTCCAGTGGTTAGGACGCTCGCTTCTTAATCGGACAACCCAGGTTCGAACCCCAGGACAAGAAAAAAAGTTTTTCAGAATTAATCCAGGCGCAGCGTGTGTGTGACGCCCCACTCCTACTAGAGGCTCTTAACTCGTACGAAATACGCTCGCACTTCCCCAGAGTTAATCGCCGACGGCGGGTCCAGCATAGGTAAACGTCAAGTTCTCATAAAGCCATAACAATCGTATGACGTACATCCAGGAGGAGCGTCCTCTCCTTAACGGTCAGGTTAGAGAAGTAGAGAATCTCCCAGGTAGGTGACATACATCAAAGGAAAAATTCCCACGGTCTAGGACCACCCACGTAGGCGGAATACATCAAAGGAAAAAGTTCCCACGGTCTAAGACCACGCCCACACAGGCGGCATAGATCAAAGGAAAATTCCCACGGTCTAGGGCCACCCACGTGGGCGGCATACATCAAAGGAAAAAAAGTTCCCACGGTCCCCAGAATTTTCCCAGGCCCAAGTGACCCCATGCCTACTGTCAAAAGTGCCTACTTTATTTTTTGGTCTACATTGCCAATTTACGAACTCCGATCTACAAATTTGATAAAGAATCCATCTACAGAATTTCATCGTAAACGGTCAATTCGTTATCGTTATCAAGATATCGTGCTAACGGATAGACGGACAGACACCGCAAAATTATAAACTCGCTAGGATTTATAATTGCGCTAGGTTAACTTGAGCGCTAGGTCTACAGAACAGAAAACATCAAATTTTTACCCGAAAAGACAAAATGGTGATGCCCCCTCCCCCCACACTATTGGAGGGTGATGGCAGCTCTAAAATTTGTGGCGCTAGCGTTAATATAGCACCCCCCGAAAGTCAAAAGCTTTTTTGTAAAATCTATAATGGCGCTAGCTGAACTCAAAGTGGCGCTAGGTCAGCAGAACACATAACGTCAAAATTTTACATGAAAAGACAAAATGGTGGTGCTAGGAAAAATTGCTCCCCTCACTATTGGGGGGTGGCGCTAGCTCTAAAATTTGTGGCGCTAGCTGGCGCTAGGTCTGACGAACACAGCGCTTGCTTTTGGAAATGATCGGACGCAATGGTGGTGCTAGCGTTAACATAGCACCCCCCGAAAATCAAGGGCTTTTCTGCAAAATCTATAATGGCGCTAGCTGAACTCAAAGTGGCGCTAGCTGGCGCTAGCCATAGAGATTCTAGCGCAATCTGTCTTTAGTTAACGGAGCCCAATATATCAGGGATTTTCATTTTTTACTGGCAGTCTTGACATCGCGTCTGCATTTGCATTTAAATGAGAACGTTTGTAACATATTTCGTAATTGTAGGGTAACTGTGGTAAATATGAGCACCTTAAGTAAAACCGGTGTTATTTTGACAAAGGTTACCAATTGGCCAAAAGTGAAATTTTTATTTGAAGTGACAAATGCCGGACTACTAAAGTTTAAAGTAAAAATTCGCTGCATACACATATGAATTTGATTTTCACATTTTACGATGATCGTAAATATGCTCATATTGCCAATAGGGGGGAATATGAGCATACGCAAATCAATGTACTAAACACCTTTATTTAGATACAATTGTCACAATGGTATACTTTGCAGGATTTGGATGTTCCGGTACATTCTTCATGTGCCCATCCTTGGCATGTCATGCATCTAATCCAAGCACCACCAGTTTTCGAAAATAACTCGCAGCAAAAGATACACTCAGCATCATCATCCACACGAGATTTATTTGTGGATGCCAAAGATTTCCTGGGAGCAGGTTTCGCAGGTTTTCCTGCCTTTCTTGTAGAAATTTCCAACAATTCATTTTTGTATGGCCTTTCTGTCAAAATACTCGAGTGGGCAACTTTTCTGTCGGTAGAATGGGATTCGATTTTTCTGGGGTTACGGGCAATTAGATCGGTCTTATTCGATTGAATTGAATGAAAACTTGTCCCCACATCACATCATCATCTCCTGCATCCTTATGAGTACTATTTACTTGATCTTTTTGCGCATCTTCTGTACCTTTTTGATCTTGCAAATTCCTTTCATCTGCAATAGAATGGAACTCGGTTTCATTTACCATAGATGCGATGAAGTCTTGGTCTGTAAAGACGTCGGGATTAAAGGGAAATATTCCACATTTCTTAAAGCCGAACACAGCATTACGGATGGTACCTCCTTTACCATACGCTTGATTAAACAACTCTGGGATCTCTCTTTCTGTTACAATCCTTCCAGGATGCTGAGTTAACCATGTAGACACGGCTTGGTCATAGAATGAGTTTATACTTTTAAACACGGCGACATCAAGCGGTTGTAGTTTGTGGGTGGTATGTGAAGGCAACGACAAAACGATGACGTTATTTTCTCTAGCTTTCATAATTACGGAGAGATTTTTTGTATGGGACGTGTGCCCGTCTAGAATGAGTAGAACGGGTTCAGGGCGAACTTCTGGCCTTACTATTTTCAAAAAATGGTCAAACCACGTGCCAAATAATTCCTCATTGATCCAACCGGAGGGATTTGCAACACCAATTGCGCCAGGTGGTCCATTATCCAGCAGATCAGGGCGCATTCGGACTCTCGGGAACACAAACATTGGAGGAATAAACTGCACTGATGCAACAAACGACTGTAATGGTTTTTCCTTTTTCAGCGCTCGTTAGTGATCCAACGGATTTTTTGCCTTTTCTAGCGACTATTTTTCCTGGCTTACGCACATACGTATATCCAGATTCATCAACATTGAATATATTTTCTGGAGGTATTCTCTGCGATCCCGTTTCAAAATAAATGAGCTTCTTTAAATTGTTAAAGAAAAGTTCAACCTTTGTTTTATTAAACCCGATAGCCCTTTGTATTGAAGTTGCTTCCGGTTTTCTGACGGATAATTCGGGGTTCCACGAAACCAGTCCCTCCCTGATCTACCTTTACTACAGTTAAATGGATTGGAAATCCCATTTTTCTTACAATACTAGACTTTCGAACATCGTTTATCCCCACTCCAAATAATCTCCTTTCCATATCAAGCAGCACATTAACCAGATCTTTTTCTTGTTCCTTTGATAAAACTGCTTTTTTCCCAAGCTTTTCTTTCAAAGTAAATTCCCTATCATTCCGGGCTTTCAACAAGTATCTGCGTAAAGTTTGACGTGGCACGCCACTGCATTTGGCAGCATACTTCTCCGACTTGCCTTCGTCCAAAACGAGCTTAAGAGCAGTCTTCATATTCATTTCTGACCAAATTGATCGTACCCTTTTCTCCTTCGTCTTAGTCATCGTTAAGGAACCTATTATAGATAACATTGAATTGTAAGCATGATAATAATAATGAATTGATGCCTTAGCGTTTGAATAAAATGTTACTTTTGATCTGTTTTTGTTTCATTCACGAAGCTCATTCTCATATTACCCACCTCTGTGGATAATATGAGCATATGCTCATATTAGCCGTAATTTGAATGCTCATATAACCCACGCATGTAGGAGTTCACGTTAGGAAAATTTACAAAAAATGACGTCATGGTATTTACTTTAGTATGCAGTGTTTCAAGCGCCAAGGTCTGTGTGACATGTATGTACAGTATTTACAACAATCCAACGGATATTTTTTGATTTCTTACCTTAAGAAATGCACTAAATTTATTTAAAACACAACACGTACTAAGTGTTCGATCACACAACACATGCACAACACAAAACGCTTCAAAATGAAGAGAGAAGGACTAGCGAAGACGGAACGATGTGCGTAGAGTTAAGTTAAGCATGCACGAGTTTGACGCGCAATCCATTTTATCAATCAAAAAGTGAGAAACCAAACCAATCTTTGGGGGCCCCCATCAGCCGGTACAGCAGCTCACCGAAATAAGCCACTCCAGGTACGTGCCAAACTTTCTATTTATGTATTTGTATGGTTCGGGCGGAAATATTCATTTAACCAAAAAATATAGCTTATGGTCCTTCAGTCCACTAATTACAAAAAGATTAACTTAAAAAACAAACAGTCAGTAAATGTTTTCATATTTTGTTCCTTCTTGTTTCCTTGAATATTTAAGAAGACTGACATTATGTTAAATTTAAATTGTATGAGCGTCTTGTATCATTTGTACTCTTGTTTTTTTTAATCAATAAAGATGATAGCAAACCTACTTTAAGATTTTTGACGATTTCTCATATATGCGAGGAAAATGTTTGTTGAACAACTTCAGATTTGTGTTCAGCACACCAACAAACATACAGTAACCCACTATAAATAATTACATTAGAACTTTCCTCTTATATTATTTGTGCACCATTTGACCGGAAATTCACGACCGCCATATTCACCTTCCATTCTGGTCTCCTTTTTTACATTACTATGCTCCTTCCTGTCGGTTTTACCTACAAACAGAGCTTGGAATCCGGTACAGCGCCGGATTGTGACGACGCGAGACGTTGTTTTTGCGGAGACGAAGGTTAAAAGATATGGGGAGCTGTTGAATTACAAACTGTATTTATTTATTTGATATTTTATGTGTGACCGCTAGATAGCATAAACGTTCAGTTTTGATGTTTTGGATTAGAGCGCAGGTATAACTTGTAAATAGGTGATAAAAATAAATTTGATTTTGGTTGATGGTTAGACGTTTTTCGTGTTTGTATTTTATAAGTTAATACCGCTACAAATTATACGCTACCGCTACCGCTACGAAACATTTGGTCCAACGAGACGGATACCGCTTTTACTTGAACTTTCCGCTACCGCAAAGTCGTTAAGTGTCAAAGTGTTATTATCGCAAGTGCAAGTGCAATATTCACAATGGCTTCAAAGAAGATTCTAACAATTCGCAAAGAAGACCTCTTTAAAGAGCTCACCGCACTCAGTAAAAAGGTAAGGCAATGCGATTTCTCAATTATCGTTGCCAAAACATATTTACGGCGAATGGATACGCTTGAAGCATCCTTTCGTGCGTTAAACGTCGACATTATCACCTATAATGTTGATAAAGATAAAGCGGACATTGTAAACATCAATGATCTCGAGGCATTTATTGAACTCATTGATTTTATTAACAAGAACTGCCTAACGGTTATCGAAAACGGTGCATCAAACGTTGTCGCTACTGTTGGTGCTACCGCTACGGTTAATACTAAGGGTCCATCGCTGCAAAAAATTCAGATTCCAATATTTGACGGTGCAATTGAAAAATGGGAAAACTTTATATCGCTTTTCGATAGTTTAGTGCATAATCAAGAAGGTATTGATGACGCCACTAAGCTTCAATATTTACGTTTATATACCGCTAAAGAAGCACACGCAACCGTATCGCGCTTCATCTTACAAGATTCAAATTACGCTCCCGCTTATGACGCTTTGAAAAAACGGTATGCTAACAACCGCCGCATAGCTGCCTTTCACATACAAAGACTTGTCAAATTTGTTAACAAGGGTGATCTACTTCATTACCTTGAAGTTCACCGCACTTCGACATCCGCGTTAGCCAATCTCCAGCTCAACGATTTGGCTGATTTCATCCTCTTTCAAATTGCGTACAATAACTGCGATCCAAAAATCAAAGCCAGTTTCGACAACGAGAATGCTAGCGAACTGCCGAAACTAATTGAACTTTTGGATCACGTTGAGAAAAGAGCCCGCAGTCACGAAATGGACGTCAAATGCGTTCTTCCTACCCAATCAAAAACCGCTTTCTTCGCGCCACCAAAACCAAATCAATCTAGAACCCACATCACGCAAGCAAGAACGTCGTCTCAACCGAAATGCAGATACTGCAACGCTGATCATCAAACCTTTCACTGTCAGCAATTCCGAGAATTGTCGCCTGCTGATCGTACCAATTTTATCAAATCTTCTCACGCCTGCTTCAATTGTTTTGGGTCACATGAGGTCAAAGACTGTAAAAGTAAAGTCCTCTGCAGAATCTGCAACCGAGCTCATCACAGTCTTTTACACCTTCCAACCGCTGTACCCACCGTGCCAAGTACTGCATCGCCTCCCGCAATTTCTACTACGTCGTCTTCCACGCCTCTCACTAGTACAGACACCGCTCAAGAAAGACCCGCAGCCGTCATGTCGTGCGTATCTACGAACCAGGTGCTTCTCGCCACCATCTTGTGTAAAATACAGGATTCGTTCGGCAATCTGCACGATGTTTGTGCGCTACTTGACAGCGCCAGTCAAAGATGTCTTGTGACAAGTAAGCTCGCAAACCGCCTAGGATTACAATGCAAAGGAGAAGCTCGCTGCATCCTCGGAGTGAGCGGAAGAGAATCTACTTCCCAGGGTTCTGTTCAATTAAGACTTCAATCCCGCTTCAAGCCCCCGGCAATTTATGTGACCGAGGCCAGTGTCCTACCGCACATATGTGATGATTTACCTACTGCTGAACTCTCGCCAGACCTCTACCGCAAATTTTCTCAGCTGCCACTTGCAGACAATCAGTTTCACCGACAAAAGAAGATCGACATTTTGCTCGGCGCAGACGCTCACGCTAATTTACTGACTGAAGAGACTCCAAACCTAATTCCTGGCCAACCTACTGCCCAAAGGACAAAGTTTGGATGGGTTATCTTTGGAGCGACCCCCGAACTGAAGCCGCTATGTTCTGCTACTGCCATGCTAATTCGATCGCATCCGCTTGAATCTACGCTTACTCGCTTTTGGGAAATTGAACAAGTTTCCATGCCGTCGGCGCAAACAAACCCAGAGGACGTCATTGCTGAAGAGCATTACATCAACACGCATACCAGGGATTCTGAGGGACGATACGTACTGCGCCTCCCTTTCCGCCCAGGAACCAATCCTAAAGAGTTGTCCAACCGCAGCGCCGCTGAAAAATGTTTGAGATCGCTAGAAAGACGATTAGGGCGTCAACCGCAAGTAAAGTTATTGTATTCCGCATTCATGCAAGAGTTCATCGAAATGAAACACATGCAGCTAGGTGTTTCACCATCAAGTTATGTTCTGCCACACCACTGCGTCATGAAGGAGAGCACCTCCACCAAACTGAGGTGCGTCTTCAACGCCTCCGCCAAGGACGTCACAGGGACGTCTCTGAACCAGTTACTTCTACCAGGACCGAAGCTGCAGGCAGACATAAGTGACATTCTTATCCGTTTTCGCTTCCACAACGTCGCACTGTGCAGTGATATCAAAATGATGTTTCGCCAGCTCGCCATCCATCCAGAAGACAGGCAGCATCAGCACGTTTTCTGGCGTGAATCTCCCGAACATACGCTTCAAGAATACGAAATAACTCGTGTCGTATATGGTATGGCAAGCAGTAGTTTTCTTGCTCAACGCACCCTTCGCCAACTCGCTGCTGACGAAGGTCACCGCTTCCCAAATGCCGCTATTGCTTTAGTTCGAGATTTCTATATGGATGATTACGTCGGAGGATCTTCCTCTATTGCTGAGGCCAAGCAACTTCGCAAAGAACTGACTGAGCTGCTCGACGCAGGATGCATGCCTCTGCGCAAATGGAGCTCGAGCAATCCACGAGTGCTTGACGACATTCCTGATTCCCACAAGGAAGTTCCGCTGGAATTCAGTACTGGTGATCCCATGCTGAAAATTCT